TGGGTCGGTATCGACCTGGAAGGGTGTGGGCAGTGGGGTTCCGCAGGGCTCAGTCCTTGGACCGATACTCTTCAATGTCTTCATCAGCGACTTGGACGAGGGAGCGAAGTGTACTCTGTCCAAGTTTGCGGATGACACAAAACTGTGGGGAGAAGTGGATGCACCGGAGGGCAGGGAACAACTACAAGCAGACCTGGACAAGTTGGACATATGGGTGGAAAACAACAGAATGCAATTCAACAAGGAGAAATGCAAAGTGCTGCACCTAGGGAGGAAAAATGTCCAGCATACCTACTGCCTAGGAAAAGACCTGCTTAGAGGCACGTAAGCGGAAAGGGATCTTGGAGTCCTAGTGGACTCCAAGATGAACATGAGTCGTCAGTGTGACAAAGTCATCAGAAAAGCTAATGGCACTTTATCGTGCATCAGCAGATGCATGACGAACAGAACCAAGGAGGTGATACTTCCTCTCTATTGGGCGCTGGTCAGACCGCAGTTGGAATATTGCGTGCAATTTTGGGCACTGCACTTCAAGAGGGATGTGGATAACCCGGAGAGGGTCCAGAGAAGGGCCACTCGTATGGTTAAGGGCTTGCAGGCCAAGCCCTATGAGGAGAGACTGGGGCACCTGGACCTCTTCAGCCTCCGCAAGAGAAGGTTGAGAGGCAACCTTGTGGCTGCGTATATGTCCCCAGGCTTCCTATCTCCCTCCTTTAGCTTCTGCTGCCTAACCCCACCCCTGGAGATGAAGCAGGAAAGGAGCCCATGGCCAGAGGCCCTGGAGAGACTCAGGGACCCTACTCAGCATTTGCACTGGTGCAGTGCAGAGGGGGTCGCTCACTGCTTGACAGGCATGGGCCACATGGCAGGACTGCACGTATGTTGTATCTGCTAGCACAGTGAGTCTGTGTGATGCAGCATGTCTGTACATCAGATGCATGGTGCAGCTGAGAACCTTGTGCCATGTATTTGTGGGCTGCATGCCATGTGGTGCTTGGGGTCCGGGTGGATATGCAGTGTGGCATGCAGCTCATGCAGTATAAAACCTAAGGGGGCATGACCCATGATATATGACTGGGGCGGGGGTGGAGCTGTGGCCTCCAGTCACTCAGAACTTGGATAGCCATGGCTTGCATTCTAAATATACAGGTTTCCCTCGCTTTATGCAGGTTCTGTACATGCGAATTCACTCTTATGCGATGACCCTTTTTATACCAAAAATTCATTATATGCGAGGTAAATTCACTCATGTGATCAGTGTGGTGGAAGCCTGCAGTCAGCTGCTTTGTGCGGTGCATTGCTGGAGTGACATGCACCAAAATGTAATCTCCTATGTGGATCTGTGCTCCATGCTCTTCGTCTGCGACATGCGTTTCTGTAGTTGTCATCCCCATTATGATAGTGCCCTGTGCTTATATGTACTGTCTGCTGTTGGTGAATTGTCTTGTAAGAGTGGTAAAAATGGGTCTGGGGGTCAGTACAGTCGAGGTCTTGGACCGTATCCCTATTTGTTACATTGTAAAGTGGGTTCCCTTTATGTAAGTTCGAGTTTTGCACCATTTTCCAGGAACTCATGTACAGCATAAAGCAAGGGAAACCTGAACAGGGCTTTTTCACACAAAAACATAATCATCCAAATGATCAGTTACTGGAAGGCTTGCAAGGATTATTTAAAATTTAGTTTTATTGGAAAGGTAATGTATTGGCCATGGTTTATTTTTCCGTTTGTAACAGAATTTCTAGCAAAAAAGTCAGTATCTGCTGGCCCTGCCAAAAACATGCATTTGGGTGTTTTGGTTGCTTATTTTATTGTTTTGGTTGCTTATTTTATTCTTAAAGAGATCTTTCCAGAACCACCCATCCTAGCCTTTAAACAAGCACCGAACCTTATTAAGCTCATCATCACCAGAAGCAAACTGACACCGAATGGATCCAGAACATGCCAGGACAAGAAATGAAAAACCTACCAACACATCTCCACCGCCCCAACTATCACTGTACCCCACAACAGAACCATCACCATTCCTGAATCCTACACCTGCACCTCCAGAAATGTTATACATCTCATGCAGTGCATCAAACGCCCTGATGGAAAATATGTAGGAGAAACTAAACAACAACTATGCACCGGAATGAATGCACACTGGAAATATATCAAAGACAAGAATACCCAACTACCTGTGGGGACACATTTCTCACAGGACAATCATTCCCTTTCCCAGTTGTAATCCTCAAAGGTAACTTACAACACACCTTTCATAGATGAGCCTATGAACTTCACTTCATCAATCTACTGGATACTAAAAATCAGGGACTCAATATAGACATTGGATTTATGACACATTATAACCTGCCTGACATCTGAGTCACATGGTACCTACCTGACCTGACCTCTCACATTCCTTTCCCTCCCCCCCAACTTTTCTCTCATCCCCTCCTCAACTTCTCTGCCCTTTTTCTTCCAGTTCCCTACCTTTTCCTTTTTGTTGCTAGCCTCTTTTTTACCTTGTATTATTACCTCTGTAGTGTTTTCCATTTGGCCTTCCCCTCCGTTTTCTTTCCCCTCCCTTCCCTGCTTTACCTTTTGTTTTCCTACTTCTATCCTTTTAGATTTTCACTGACATCCTGTCACACTTTTAGCTTTCCCCATCTGTCTCACTTTTAGCTTCTCCCATTCCTGTTTTCCTCATCTCCAACTATTCCCTTTTTCACAGACTGCCTCTTCTTCACCTTGTATTTTATCTGTTGTCACCCTATGACTTTCCCCCCCCTATTCTCTTCCCCCTCCCTGCTTTTCCTTTTCTGCTTATCTCTAACTATTTATGTTTTCACTGACATCCCTCTGCACTTTTAGCTTATCTCATTCCTTGGAGTCTCAGAACAGCAAAGACTTCCTATGCCAGAGGAAGAGTGACTTGCTAAGAACTTTTTCCAAGTACTCAGTTGGTCTAATAAAAGATATCACATCTACCCAAATAACCTTGCCCGCCTTGGTCGCTCGTAGGATTTTTGCTCCTCTTCTGTGCCTATGCCTGCCAGCACACACGATTAAAATAAGCCTGCCATTTCAAAAGACAGGTCCTTTGTTCCCTGCCTGCAAGAGTTCAGCTAGCATCTTGAGGAGATGAGGCCTGGTGGGTGGATGGATGGAGAAAAGTAGAAGGTGGGAAGGACAAGTGTTGGACTCCATGAAGAAAGTAAAGACAAAGAAGAGGAGGAAGCAGGTACTACACAGGTGAGCTTCCTTTTCAGGCTGTTGCTGTGGGTTCTCTCTCCTGCCTCCTCCTGGCCAGATTTCCCTGGGTCTTGAAGAGCTCTGGGGTCTCCAAGGGACCTGCACTCCTTCTCAATGAGTTTAGTGTCAGGGTGTACTACTGTGGCTCCTGCCTATGTGCTGCAAGATGTCACTAACAGCCATGAAGCCCACACCCATGGCTGGATCTAAGAGGGGGAAAAGGGGGTGCAGGAGATGCCACCAGTGCCCTAGCTGCCAGGGGCTTCTGCGAGTCTCCAAAGCAAGTGGGAGTCTCCCTCTGACCCCGCACTGCACCGCTGCTCCCTCCCCTCTAGCGCAGGCCCGTCCCCCCCAGCAGGGCTGCCTCTGGGTGCGGGCAAGGGCCTTTGCGGGTACCCCCGGGTGCCCTGGCTCTTCGCTCCGCACCTGCTAGACCACCCTGCACGGGGCGGCCCCACTGCGCTCAGGCGGCGAGGGGGCGGGGCCGGGAACAACTACAAAGGGGCGGCCGAGGCGGCAGGCGGGTGCGGTGCGGTAGACTGAGCGGAGCTGAGCGTTGAGGTGAGTGGCGGGCCGCGGGCGCCGTAGTGCGGGGGGTGGCTCGGGCTCAGCCTGCGGCGTCCGGTTCGGCCGGGAGGCTGTGGTGCCGCTCGGCCTCTGGGGCGGCGTCATGGGGAAGATGAGCGCGGGGCTCCGCCGCTTGTAGCCGCCTCCGTGGGGCCTGGGCCGAGAGCCGGGAAGCAGAGCGCAGCGCGGGCTGGCGGCGGGGGCGGCCGCTTCCACGGCCGCGCCGCAGCGCGGGCTGGCGGCGGGGCAGGCCTTTCCAGGAGCTGCGCGACTAGGAAAGCCCGTGCCCTGAGCGGCTGGGTTGCCTCCCCCTCGCTTCCTCATGCCTCTGGGTTGAGCTTCTCTGGGCAGTGTCCGCTGCATCCTTGGACTTGTTCAAGGGTCAGTATGCTCTGCTCTGTGCCTCCTGCAGATCCCTCATTGTGAACCTCACTCCCTTCCCTGTTTTCTTTTTCTTTTGTCCCAAGGAATTAGTTGTTACTTTCTCAGTGGCCTCCCTTTTTAAAGGGAGCCTTATAGTGTTTCTTGGAGGGCACTGGCCCACGATCCCTTGAAAGTAACAAATAGGCCTGTGCCAAACCTATTAGATACCTGCTAGCTGAAGTTGCAGGTGGTGGTGCCTTTGTGATGGGTCTGTTCTTCACATAGGCATTTGGGGAGTTTTCTTGCTTGCTTTCTTTTTTTTTTTTTTTTTTTTTTTTAAGGAAGGAGGACCTGGAAAAATCTCCATGTCTAGCTTTAAGTTTGGCACAGAGTACCTTCTGTAGGTCTAAAACTCCCTCTGGAGAAAGTGACAGACACTGCAGTGCCATCATCCCTTTCTTGCAGAAGTAGCTGACAACAGGAGGAACGGCACAGAGATAAAATGGTGTTAAAATTCTTTTGCCAGACTGTGTTAAATGCTCTAGTTTCTGAGTCTGTGGGTTTTCTCCTTGCTTGGCCTGATGTTGGGAAAGGGAGGATGGGGGAGAGGAACGGTGGAACAGGAGTCATTTCAGATCGTACACAATTAGGGTTGGAAGAGACCATGAAGTACCTAAATGTTCTTCTAGCACCCCATGTGTATGATGCAAAGATGACACGGAGAGCCTCAGGTTTTGGTCTCCAGTAATCTAAAGCCCTGTGGGATATTGGGATTTGAAGTATCTTGGAAGTCTAATACAATTTCTCAGCACTCCTGTGCCTTGCCCCCTGCCCCAAATCTTTGAGGTGGCCAGGAAGACCCTGCTATGACAGTACTGTCAGGATGCTTGATTGATGCCTCTGGGGACTTTGTGCAACACCTGGCCTGTGAGTCTTTGATACCATTATTTCAGAGTCACTTGGATCTGAGAAGTGCTAAGCATTTGGTCTTAATTATTGATATCAAACAGTGTTCTTTCACTAATAGAAAGCCATTAAGTGGTTAGCCATCAAACACAATTGACAAACTTTTGTGACTCTGGGTACCCATCTTTCCTTTCAGTTGCACGCTTGCACCATTCCCATTGAAGTCTGTAGTGAGGAGGTACCTCATGATGCCTTCAATGGACCTCCAAGCACTTCCACATGCCCTTAAGATTGAAATGCACTGTGTGGGGTGGATGTTGCCTCCTTCCTACAGGTGAGGAGTGACATGGGTCCAATGACTTGCTCACTGCCTCTGTGAGGCTGTGGAGGAATGGATCTAGAACAGAGGTGACAAAATATGGCCCACAGGTCAGATCTAGCATGCTGGGTAACTTCATCCAGCTCACAGGTAGGTGCCCACCAATTAATTGCATCTGCCCAGCTTGTGGTTCCCCCTGCTGTGCTGGAGCAGTGTGCTGTGATTCTGCCTTTGCAGGTAGCAGGCCCTTAGCACCAGCCAGTGCTCACAGCTTCCAGGCAGGGCTGCTGCAGCTGCCTGAAGAACTGCTTGGCTCCCCTGAACACCAGCAGCTCCTCCTGTTGCTGCTGCAGTGCTCTGGGCAGCAGGTAGGGAAGTGATGGTGGGTAGGAGGGGCAGCTGTGTGGGAGTCCAGGGCATTGGGCCAGGGCTGGCAGGAGTCCAGAGTGTGGGGCCTGCACTGCACAGGGTGATGGAAATGCAGAGCCTGGGTCTATGGGAATGTGGGGTTGGCCTGGTTCAATTGCACAGGGCTCCCCATGGCTCACATGCAGCTCATGGGACCTGTGCACTGCTGGGGAGAGCTCTATGGTGGCCTTCCCCACTCCCTGCCACCATGTACAGCTCTCTGGACTCCTCTGGGAGTGGTGGGGAGCCCTGTGCAGTGGAGCCAGGCAGGCTCCACCCTGTTCCCTGCTGAGTCCTAGGAGCTGCAGCTGGGAGTAGGCCAAGCCACTGACTCCATCACATGGTGGCTCTGACCAAGTCCTGAGAGCTGCACGTGACTCATGGGGAGAGCCCTGCATGATGGAACTGGGCTGCACCTCCCCCATGCTGTCTCCCCCACTCCCTACACTGCACCACATGTGTGCACACATACACTCCCCCAACCATTCCCCTTGCATATGATATACAAAAGTAAGACTCTTATTTTGAGCTATTATGCAATCCCCTCATATATACTACACAAACATAAATTGGGTCAAACTTTTTATTTAAAAAAAAAAAAAAAATTAAAATATGTTATAGTAGATGTTTTGACTTTTAGTATACAGTTTGGTTGGGTTTTTTTCTGGTTCCATGATGACCCCCTCCCTCCCCTAAAGGAGTACTTTGGGGGGCAAGGGGAGGGACTTCTGGTGGCAAAGTTTGGGGTTAGTGGTAGGACTTCCAGTCCCAAGACGGTGACCAGGGGGTGGGGTATCTGTCAAGTGGCAGGGCTACCTTTGTGGCCCTCAACAGATCACCAAAACTCATTAAGCTAAATTAACTCATTAACCCCTGATCTAAAACCTGATTTCCTTCAGTGAGACACAGATGTGGCACTCCACCTATTGTATTGATGCAACAGTGGTTGTTTGTCAGAATGGTACAAGATTAAGGGACTCTGAAAAACATTCTCTATAAGCAAGTTGGTGCTAAAACTTCTCTGCAATGGCAAGGGCATCCTGGTGCAGTACTCCAAGACACAGCAAGTAAACAGGCTTGGGACTAGCTTCTCAATTTACGGTAGAAAGAGCCTTGTTGCAGTAGTAGTTTAGGATACCCATTCTCTTGCTCCCAATCCCCCATACATCTGCATGTTTTAAATGTTCTCCAGGGATCTCTAATTCTAATTGACCTTACACTGGTTGCCATCAGCTGAACTTTAACACAAGATTAAGAGACTCCAAAAGGTCCCGATCTGTGTGTCTCAACCTTTTTAGAGTCAAGGCGCCCTTTGGAAAGTGCAAACTTGTAGCTTTCACCCTTTTGCCTACCGAAAAATAATATAACAGTTTTTTGGTTACAAAGACGGACTATGGATTTCTATTTGAAATCTGTGTTTATCTTGTGTATTATGTTTGTTAACCTAACAGTGCTAACACTTGTGTGGCACCTTGCAGCACCCTCAGAAGGATCTTAACACACCCCAAGGTTCCGTGGTTGAGAATCGCTGGTCTAAGCAGTATATTGGACTTCCTATGTTAATATACTGAGGTTTGTGTAACACTACTTTTTTCACCCTTAGTCTGACTTAAGATTGGGCTAGCTCTTTAACAAGCTTTGGCAGTTTTTCTTCTGCAAGTGAGCAAAAAGCCAGGGCAAACTTAAATATTTGAAAGAGGGTAGCATTAGATTATACAATCATAACTGATTCCTTTCCAAGAGATTAGGGTGAGTATGGAGTAGCTTTAAACTTTTTCTCACGTGATCCAAGAAGCAACTATATTCATGGTACTGAAGTGCTTTAAAATTTTCAGAAGAGTAGAAAGAACTCAATGCTTAACTAGTGAGTGCGACTGACCTGCAGGGCGAGCAAGCCATCACGAAAAGAAAGACATCTGGAGGCATTGTCAAAGAGGGATTTAAATTTTTCAGGGGGTTGGAGTTCTTTAAGGTCTGGGAATATGCAGTTACAGTAGCAGTGATATGTATTTTTTTTCAGTATCATGTCAGTTGATGAATCTGATATAAAACTATAGTTTTCAAAATGGTGGTCACTTAGAGTCCCATTGATTTTCAGCTGGCACTATACATGTTTCAGTACTTCTGAAATTCAATCCCTTTTTAGGGTGTTTGCTCTGAGCCAATGTTTGTAGTCTTTCCTCCATGACTTGCCTTCTGAATTGGCATCCTATAGGTAGGGACCTACTGAAATTGTGACTTTTGTGGAATCTGGTATTGCCTGCAAAATTGGCGGGGGGAAGAAAAAGAAAATTGAAGGAAAATAAAAAGCTGGCTGCTCAGAGGGAGCCAGCAGTCTTTAGGGCACTGCTGCAATCTGCTGGGCAGGGAAGGGAGGAGGTCATGTGGTTCTGCCCCTTGCCACCAATTGGTAGCAAGGGGCAGGGCTGCATGATGAATAGCATGGGGGGGGGCAAGGGGTGGGGTCACCAGGGTCCCTCAGCCAATCAGAGGCATGGGGGGAGGTGCTGTGCTCTGCCTGCAAAATAGCTGCCAGGCCCCATATTCTTCTGCCTGTGAAATCAGGGGCAGCCCCCTTGAATTTGGTAGGTCCCTACCTATAGGACTGCAGCAGGCCTGCTATACTAAATAATCTGCCTTGATCAGCAAGACTGAGCAAGAAAGTATTTGGTGCCTCTATACCAAGATAGACCAAATATCCTCTTAGAGGAAAGGCTTCCCGATTTTTAACTAGTGGGATGTAAATAAATGTATTGAATTTAGAATTTGATGGTGGGGAGGACCCCTAAATTTCCTACATGTATATCCTGTTTCCTCTTGTTTTTATATGTGGCCTAATTTTGAAATGTTTTTTTTTTCCTCCCTCTCTCCCCTCCCCAGTCTCTCTGGAGAAAAGCAAACCCTAAAATGGCAGGCCAAGGAAGTAATACAGACTGCATGTCATGTAGTATACTGAGCTGGGAGCAGGTCAGCCGTTTGCATGAGGTTCTGACAGAAGTCGTTCCAATCCATGGCCGGGGCAGCTTCCCAACCCTGAAGATAACCCTGAAGGACATTGTTCAGACTGTCCGCAATAGTCTGGTTAAGATTGGCATCCAAGTGCATGATGTCCGGCTGAATGGTTCTGCAGCTGGTCATGTTCTGGTCAAGGATAATGGGCTAGGCTGCAAGGACCTGGACCTTATTTTTCAAGTGTCTCTTCCAAGTGAGGCTGAATTTCAGCTAGTCAGAGATGTTGTCTTACGATCTCTCTTGAACTTCTTGCCAGAAGGTGTGAGCAAGCTCAAGATCAGTCCAGTGACTCTGAAAGAAGCCTACATCCAGAAACTGGTGAAAGTGTGTACGGAGTCTGATCGCTGGAGCCTAATATCGCTTTCTAACAGACATGGCAGGAATGTGGAACTGAAGTTTGTTGACTGCATACGTCGACAGTTTGAGTTCAGCGTGGACTCTTTCCAAATCATATTGGACTCCTTGCTTTTTTACTATGACTATTCTGAAAATCCCATGTCGGAAGGCTTCCACCCAACTGTGATTGGGGAAAGCATGTATGGAGACTTTGAGGCAGCCTTTGATCACCTCCAGAACAAACTGATTGCTACCAAGAATCCAGAGGAGATCCGAGGTGGTGGACTCCTGAAGTATAGCAATCTCCTGGTGAGAGACTTCAGGCCCATGGACCAGGAGGAGATCAAAATGCTAGAGCGCTACATGTGTTCACGCTTCTTCATAGACTTTCCAGACATCCTGGACCAGCAGCGCAAGTTAGAGACGTATCTTCAGAACCATTTTTCCAGAGAAGAGAGGAGCAAATATGACTACCTCATGACCCTGCGGCAGGTGGTGAATGAGAGCACTGTATGCCTCATGGGGCACGAGCGAAGGCAGACTCTGAACCTGATCTCTCTGCTGGCACTCAAAGTACTGGCAGAACAGAACATCATTCCTAGTGCCACTAACGTTACCTGTTACTACCAACCAGCACCTTATGTCAGTAATGCAAACTTCAGCAACTACCATATTGCAAACTCTCCTATTTCCTATAGTCAGTCTTACCCTACCTGGCTACCTTGTAACTGATTTCTAACTCGCGTATTTCTTAATGGAAGTTTCTGAAAGGCAAGAAATTGTATGGGTAGTGGGAACTACCAATTGGCTAGGGGGCTATCTGTTGGGAATGTGTGGTTTGATTTCTTATTTCCTTGAAGGCAGCATGACACTACTACCAAACAGTTTGCAAAGTTTTTCAGTATTCCCTGCACAAATGCTGCAAGAAGTCTTACTGTCTCTTTCAATTGTGGGAGGAGCCTGTGCCCTCAAATTGGAGAATTAATTACTAGTTGTGAAAACTATGGCAGACTTGTATCCAAGTGTTGTGTGTGTGTGTGTGTGTGTGTGTGTGTGTGTGTGTGTATATAGAAGACCAAGTAACAGCTGGCTAGTTATGGAGAAGAAACAGCAAAGTTTAATATACAAAACTATCTGAACTTGGAACAGCAGCAGAAATCACTTGACTGCTTGATCCCCTTGTTTCATCAGGTCACAGCCCCTACTCGTTCCATCTAAATTCTTGTAATCTTTCCATACAACTGTACTTAGGTGAGCTGTCTCTTAGTAGTTCATGCAGTGCATGAACTGCATGTACTTTTTAGCCATATAGAACTAGCCTATGTATGGACATAACTTTCTTTCATTGAGGGCCTTGATCATGATTGGTTCCTGAAAACCATTGAGCAGTGTGGCTCATCTAGAGGAGCAACAGATTGCTTTCTTAAGTTAAGGTTAGACTAACAAATCTCCCTGAAGTTTGAGCTAGCTAGATACCAGTCTTGAGCGCACAGATTTGGAAGGTAGCTTCTTGCAGTCAAAAGAAAAACAGTCCTAGAACACACAGTGAAATATATTCAAGACTGGAGTCCTTTGGCGGTGGGGGGGAAACTTTTTGGGTTTTTAAAAAAAAAAAACAAAAAACCAAAAAAAACTAAGTACTGAAACTGCTTGGGGTGATGTTTTTTTTTTTTTTTGGGGGGGGGGGGGGTTTGTTTAGTGTTTTTTGTTTTGTTTTTTTTGTTTTTCCCCCCCTTGAGAATGGCACAGCTCTGTCCTAAAATTAATCTTATTATTCTTTCTCCTCACAAGTCTCTTAAGGCACGTGGTGTTTACTTCATCTCTAGTTATAGGGTGAAGATTTCTGGGTTTGTCAGATTTGTAAGACTTCTGGGTATTGAGTCTTAAAGTCTTATCACATTCCATGAATAGTCACCACAGTGACTCTTACAAATGGCTATACTCCTGTACAACTTCAAGAAGGATTTGAAGGTCCCCTTCATTTATCACTTAATCTCATGCTTGCTTCCTGTCTTAAACTGAATCTTTTTTTAACTTAATTGACAATAGCACTTGGGCATATTCACAGCACAAGATGATGGGTGTGTGTTGCTTTTTTGTTTTTGTTTTCCCCCCAACCCCAAGATGTACTCCATTTCTTTCTCTGTCTTTGCTGCCTCTTGAAAATAATCTAAGTGGTAGACCCCTAAGACAGGGCTCACCACAAAGAGAGAAACCTACCTCCAGACCCATGTCTCCAAAGAAGAGAGCTACAATATCTGAAGAGATAACAGTACATTTCATGAAGGCAAGGTTTACTCTTCAAGAGGAGACTGATCCTTGATGAATTTCATGTGGTAAATACCAACTTGCCTTTTTTTTTTCCTCTCTAACCTCCTGCACCTTAGTCAGGGCAACAACACCCTAATTATATAGGGGGCTGGATAGTGGGGTCTGAAGCTTACTGGTGCAGTGGCATATGTGATCTATTTTAATTTAGTAAAATACAATAATTCAAATGGAGTTTAGTAGAGACTGGAAATATTGGGCCACCTCTTCACAGGAAGGGTAAGACTTTAGCACTTACTGAAGTACTGTCCAAAGCTATCTGCTAATCCTTCTATAGTTTTATACAACTTTTCAGCTATCTATAACTTGCAGTTACAGCTGTGTCCTGCTCCTTTGAGCCTTGTGGTGTTGTAATAGCAAATATTGAACAAAGGATTTCGGGTTCCTTGCAGGGTACAGTAAAGATGGATAAATTCAGATTTTCAAGTAAAAGTTTAATAGGGGGTGGGGGCATAGCAGGCCTTCTCAGTTGCAATTACAAGGCATGCTAGAATAAAATTCCTTTAATGCCCCATCCATGACCGGACCAAAAACTTCTTAATATACTGAAAGCTTTTGGACTTCCTTATAGACTCAGTAAGGTAACTTTGGATTGTCTAAAATGTGAGACTTGGTTCTTAATCGGACTTTTATGGCTGCGATTTAGTCTACAGATGGCTAGGCATGAGTGCATACTAGGGAGAAAAATCATGGCAAAGGATGTTTCAACTCGGGTTCTACTCTAAGTGGTTTGACTTGCAAAAATGTGTACCAAATGTCTAGTTTCTTCCTTTTGAAAGCACCTAACAATGGCACATAGTACCTGAATATGTTGTACATAGAAACTGAGTAGCCTCCTTCTGAAGCTTTTAACTTGTGCTTGATTTATTTTCTAGATCAGGATTTTCTTTCTGTTAAGAAACAAAAGTGACTTAATTTGAAAATTTGCTGACTTCCTTTATAAACTTAAGACAGATCAGTTTTGACAATCCTGATAGACAAACGTCATACCTGGGCAAAAGAAGTGACTCCAAACTGATGCACAGAGAGAACCCGAATTCGAGCAATATTGGGTACTGTAATGTTGCTAACACTCAAGTCTAGTACCAAGGGAAGAAAAGGGCTCAGACAAAAATAACATTAGCTGTCCGTCTTTCAAATGGCTTATTAGCTTTACAACAATAGGCATCAAAATGTTTTCTCTAGGGTTTCAACCCTTTAACTCCTGCTGCAGCTTCATACCTATATCAAGTAGTTCGAAGGGATGCAATAGTTAGACCTTAAGACTCCTTCCATTTAGTAGGCACCTGAATGAAGTGGCCAAATGCTTGAAGTTGTAGCTGTTGCTAGAGCTTTTGAGTCCTGAGATGTATGAAAGAACTCGAATCCTAAATCTTTAGTCTATCCTGCAGCTACCACAGATCAGGTCAGTGCATCTATCATGAAGTTGGAATAAAAGGGTGTGGGGCAGGAAAGGGAGAAGACTGTTGGATTCCTGTTCCTCTCTGTAGTTGCATGATTCTTTGGAGCACTGAAGTAGTAACTGGATTGTGAGTTTCAGAGAAGCTTCATCCTGAATGCCTTCTCTTGCTGCATAGCTTCTTGATGGTGATCTCCTTAAGCTTACAGACACTTTACTGTTAAATAATACTTTTAACCCTTTACTTTGAGATGCTTTTAAGTCTGGATGCTTAAGTTTAAGCTCCTAAAGCAATATCTAACTTTCTACCAAGCTGATTTGCTTGTACTCAATATGTTGCATATTGCCTATTGGATTGGCATTAATCATGTTTTAGCAACCCCCCCCCCATTTACTTCTCTTCTGTGTTATGTCTTCCATACTAGTCCTGGCTTAGGACTCCAGCTTTGGCGCACACTCCTAAGCTGCCTTGCATAATAGTGCTGCCAGTAGTCTAATTCTTCTCTCTTTCAGAAGTATTCTTGGCAGCTCAGTATTTCAGGTGTCTGTGGCTTATCATACATGTCCGAATTAGCTTGTTATACTTCCTCTTTAGCACTAAGTAACAGGAGAGTGAGTACTAGGAATAGTTTTAAGTTGCAGCACTAATCTAAACTGAAGTAGCTCACTCCATTAACACTTATTTATTCGCATTAATGGTGCCTCTGCAAAAAGGCTTTGTGGGTCCATTGCATGACTATGAAATGGAAGTTGAAGGTAGACTAAGAGCCTGAACTGCCTTCACTTTTATTGCTGGATGTTAGAAGTTAAAGGAGTACAAGCTTTCAAAAAATTGGGAATACTGATATCTGTCACCAACCAGTTTTGGACTGCAGGGTAGTCTTTCACTGAAATGTCTGTTAGGCAAGGCCTCATTGAAGACTAAAAGTTTTTAATTTGCTTCCATCTCTTAAGAACAGCACTGGCAAGTGTTTCTGTCCTGTTTTTCCCCCCCCCCCAATCTTAGACTAAATAAGGTCACTGTTAGTGACCTGAAAGTTCTGAGCACAGAAACTTGGTTTCAGCCTAGTTGCTTTGGTTTTTGAAAGTCTCCATTTCAAGAGGGTAGGTGTGCCAAATGCAAATTTCTGTTTGGGGCAGTGGCATTTTAGCTAACCCTAACTTGGGGAGAGAATAATAATACATTTCTAAGTTCATGCTATTGGTATTCTTGAGCCTCCAGCCTTGTAATGAGGGAAGCAGGTGGTGACTTAACCAAGTTCTATTCCCATATTCTCTATCTCTTCTAGTGTTCAAATGCTGGCTTACCTAACTTGACAAATGGTCTACATGCTTAAACTTTAACCTCCTAGAGGATGAAAATTTAATGGAAATTACTTGCTTGCTCATTAATAGAGAAGAAACCTGTTGCTGGAGACAAGTACTTGGTAGATACCTGCTTCCCAGACTTCATGGGGAAGTGTATTTTGCTTGCCTATTGAATACCTGCTGTAATAACTTCTGATTGCCTCATGTGGGCCACAGTTTAACTTTGGAAAGGAGCTTCTTGGGCACATGGTCTTAATTTGCCTTTTTAAGTTTAGTCTAATTCATAACTTCAGCCTATCCACTTGCTTGGGATAACACCCATCTCCTAATGGAGCATGTACTAGGCAGTACTGCTCTTCCTTGTGTCGGGTAACAAGAAGCCAATTCATGGTACAAAGCAGATGGAAACGCTTTCAGTTTTGGCAGTGTTTGGGAGTATTAATGGTTTTTAAACAGCCAAAGTCTTAACCAGCACTTCTCAGTAGTCAAAATGCATTAAGTAGCAGATTTCTCTTAGACTAAGGGCTCTTAACATGCAAAGCTGGGCTGTATCCAGGGAAGGTAGAAAGTCGCAGCACTTATTTGTACTTCATATAAATTGCAGGTGAAAAGGTCACTCACTAATAAGTCATTTAAAATGAGTTGTGGCCGTGGTTGGCTCTTTTTTCCTTTTCATTATTTGATGAAAGCTATACTCCTTGCTGAGGAAAGGCGTGGAAATATTTTTTTTCCTATTTTGTTGTTAATAGGAAACAGTTTTCTAGAAAACTTGAGTGGCTTTTGCTGTCCTCCCCCCCATCCCAATAATGCTGCAGACTTAATTGGCCATTGGCTGTTTTCGAATGTGCATATAACAAACCCAAACAGTGAGAGAGGGCCTATGTTTGTAGGAGTTGTTATGGTAACTTGCCTAATACAATGCACTGTGGTATCAAAATGGATTAATCTGGTTGTGTTAAAAAGCTGGGAGGAGAAAGTATACCTTAATGACTTGGACAAATTTAAAAAAAAATAAACTCTAAAGACATGTTTCCATCG